CACTTCCGCCAAAACGGCTCAACGATTTTTTTTGACGTCGCATCGTACTTCACATAGACGTAGGTCTATGGTACTTCAGCTTCTCATCAAACTTTCTGTCCAATCAAATGCTCTCTAGAATCCGAAGCGCTCGCCCCCTACACTATAAAATAGACGCTGAAGCCGCGGCTGAAATTGGTCACTTGTCCACAGAATTAGTATTTTCTGTACAGTGAATGGCACGTAGTGCACTATATAGCGGACAGGGAACGATTCAAACAGTGTAAATATGCTTTCCACTGAAGAAAAAAAGAAGTCTGGTTTCGCGCTGTCACGCTAACCACCGCACAGCACACACACTCTGCTCCGGTTCAGACACACGATAGCACGGAGCGGATCACATGCGCGAGTCGGCGCAGACCACAAAATGTATCGGAGCTATTTGAATTCTACACAGAATGCTATATTTTATAGCAATATGGATGAGATTGTAGCTGGCATACCCTGTCAAATGCGGCTTTACGGAGCTCAAGGGCTCTAGCCTGAACGGCTCTAGCCCAAGCTGTGATATGATATAAACGAACGCTATTGGCTATTTTAAAAAGGGGCGGGGCTGCTTGATATGTCCCGCCCTGTCTTCCTGTTTCAGTTAAAATGACGTCAACACGAGTAACGCTGCGTGTTTCTAAGCATTTCAGGGGACCTTTAAATAGAACTAAAACTATTGAAAAACTTTTTTGTTAATTAGAATAAAAATACTAAAATAAAATAATAAAATGTTAGATGAAAAGCTTAATTAAAAAAAAAACGTAAATGAAAATTAGAAATGACTAAAATACTTAATTTAGAAATGTAGCCTTCAAAAGTTAAATACAATAAATAATAATAATAATAATAAAAAAAAAAAAAAGTTAGTTCTAAAATGACTAAAACTCAAATAAAAATAAAGCTAAAAATAAACATTTTTTTAAAATTTAAAAATGAAATGACAAAAGCGCATAACAAAATTACTAAAACCTAAATTAAAATAAAATAAATAAAAGCTGAAAAAGCTAATTACAAATATTAATAAATACTCAGTAATACTAAAAGAACTACTAATACTCTAAAAATCATTTAGAGGTCACATTCTGTGATGTAATTTTGTATGGTATGTGTTTCTGGGCTTCAAAACTCAGAAAAGACGCAATTTCTAAGCCTTTGCTTTAGCTTTCCTCCACGTATTCATCAGAGAAAGCATCGTCTGAATCGTCTGATAAAGTCAGAGTGGTTTGATGAACTAAAACTATGTGAATTATCCCTTTAAGAATGCATCATACATAACATCTATAAGCTAATTAGTTGCTTTGTCATGGTGGTAAAAAGCATTTAGTCAGCTGCAGGTCAGTGTTAGGTAAGTGTTCTCTGGGTCAAAAGTTGAATGAGGCATTTGCACCGGGTTTGTTATGGACATGTTAGACCTTCGCATCCACCTCTGCTTATGTGTGTTGACAGCTCATTGTGAAATCTTAAGGTTATCTATAAGGCAGTGTGCTCCAAAACAGTGACAAAATTCGCATTTAGAAGATATAAGCATTCAAAGCTTGCAGTTCGTCACTTCCACCAAAACGGCTCAACGATTTTTTTTGACGTAACATCGTACTTCAGCTTCTCATCAAACTTTCTGTCCAATCAAATGCTCTCTAGAATCCGAAGCGCCCGCCCCCTACACTATAAAATAGACGCTGAAGCCGCGGCTGAAATCGGTCACTTGTCCACAGAATTAGTATTTTCTGTACAGTGAATGGCACGTAGTGCACTATATAGCGGACAGGGAACGATTCAAACAGTGTAAATATGCTTTCCACTGAAGAAAAAAAGAAGTCTGGTTTCGCGCTGTGTCACGCTAACCACCGCACAGCACACACACTCTGCTCCGGTTCAGACACACGATAGCACGGAGCGGATCACATGCGCGAGTCGGCGCAGACCACAAAATGTATCGGAGCTATTTGAATTCTACACAGAATGCTATATTTTATAGCAATATGGATGAGATTGTAGCTGGCATACCCTGTCAAATGCGGCTTTACGGAGCTCAAGGGCTCTAGCCTGAACGGCTCTAGCCCAAGCTGTGATATGATATAAACGAACGCTATTGGCTATTTTAAAAAGGGGCGGGGCTGCTTGATATGTCCCGCCCTGTCTTCCTGTTTCAGTTAAAATGACGTCAACACGAGTAACGCTGCGTGTTTCTAAGCATTTCAGGGGACCTTTAAATAGAACTAAAACTATTGAAAAACTTTTTTGTTAATTAGAATAAAAATACTAAAATAAAATAATAAAATGTTAGATGAAAAGCTTAATTAAAAAAAAAACGTAAATGAAAATTAGAAATGACTAAAATACTTAATTTAGAAATGTAGCCTTCAAAAGTTAAATACAATAAATAATAATAATAATAATAAAAAAAGTTAAGCTGAAGTTCTAAAATGACTAAAACTCAAATAAAAATAAAGCTAAAAATAAACATTTTTTTAAAAATGACAATAAAATGAAAAAAAAGCACAAAATTATTACAACTTGAAATATACAAAAAAGCAAAAATAAATACAAATAGAATAATTAAAAACTTGAATAAATATTGTAATAATTTAGAAATAATATTAAAATAACAGGTTTGAAAAATTATGCAAAAGTACCATGAAATGTCATAAAAGTACTCCATATGACTATAATAACAAATACAAGCTTTGTGTCAAGAAAAGACGCAAAATACTCAATTTCTAAGCCTTTGCTTTAGCTTTCCTCCACGTATTCATCAGAGAAAGCATCGTCTGATTTGAAAAAAAAAGTCAGAGTGGTTTGATGAACTAAAACTATGTGAATTATCCCTTTAAGAATGCATCATACATAACATCTATAAGCTAATTAGTTGCTTTGTCATGGTGGTAAAAAGCATTTAGTCAGCTGCAGGTCAGTGTTAGGTAAGTGTTCTCTGGGTCAAAAGTTGAATGAGGCATTTGCACCGGGTTTGTTATGGACATGTTAGACCTTCACATCCACCTCTGCTTATGTGTGTTGACAGCTCATTGTGAAACCGCTCTGGTTGAAATGAGGAAATTACTAGGAAGACAATATCCTGGAAACAGGATTCTGCACAGCACCATCAAAACCGTGTGGTATTTCCATAAAGATTTCACAAACAACTTTTGAAAGTCATATAATTGGGAGCAAACTCTTTCTTAAAGGTCTCGCATTTTTGGCGACTATCTTTCCCTGCTAATGGCAAAGAAATGCAGATCCTTTCATGTTTTGTTGATAGTGTCTGTCACTATCATTTTAATCTCACTGATATGATGATATTTGGATTGCATCATACAAGGCATGCTCTGTTTTTTTTTCCCCAGCTGGAGCTCTGCACTGGAAAAGTATGTCTTTTGAGAGCATGAACCCGCTCAGATGTCACAAGCATGCAATTTTGATGAGCTGCAATGGAAAAAGCAGAATCATTCAGTGAGTGACAGAGAGTGCAAGAAACAAAGTTGCAGAGAGATTCGAGAACAGAAAGATTAGAGAGAAAGAGAGATGGAGAAGGACAGAATGGGAAAGTAAGACCTTCAGTATTATAAATACCACCGTGAAGCATTACATAGAGTTTCATCAGAGATAGATACAATGTAGCTGCTGCCACAACCCTAAGCTAACAAGCTGTCTTTGGATACTGCTGAGCCTCTGTTACATTTGGAGAAAGGATGATAAAAGCCTTCTGTAATACTATAATAGAGTTGAGAGGTGATGCAAAATAACATAAATCATAACAAGCGTCTTCTTAGCCAGCAGGCATAGACTAACATATAGTAAACAAATAATTTATAAATGTGAAAACTGTAAAAACAATTGTGTCCATGGAATCTCTTTAAAGCAATAGCTCTTCCAAAAATAACATTTCTGTCATAATTTACTCACCCTCATGTCATTCCAAAATCATTTGAGCTTCTTTCCTCAGTAGAACACAGAATGAGAACTTTAGCAGAATGTCCAAGCTGCACTCTTCCTTATAATGAAAGTAGATGGGGACCAATGGCTGTCAAGCTCCTAAAAGGACGAAAAAAAGCACCAAAATGTCATAAAAGTATTCCATATTGCAAGAAACATGAAATCTAAGATGGCATTCAGTTATAGATTCATAAAAAATATAATCTTTATGTTGAACCACATTCAACTAGTGCTGTCAAACGATTAATCGCGATTAATCACATCCAAAATAAAAACGTTTTAGTTTACACAATATATGTGTGTACTGTGTATATTTATTAAGTATATATAAATACACACACGCATGTATATATTTAGGAAAAATATGTTATATGTTATATTAAATATATTTACATATAATATAAATTATATGAATGTAAATATAAACAAGTAAATACATCTAAATATTTTCAAAATATATACTGTATGTGTGTATCTTTATATATACAAAATAAATAAACACACACACACACATATTGCGTAAACAAAAACATTTTTTAGATGCGATTAATCATTTGACAGCACTACATTCAACAAAGTATTTAGCATGTAATTGTTTTATAAAAGTAATAATTTAAATGAATGAATGAATGAATGAATCAATACAAATCTATATTATTAAAAATACATTAATAAAAATAATACTACATATAATCATTTGAAAAAATACACTATTCATTAACAAATGCATAACTGTAATGTCAAAAACATTTGACATGCTCTTAGATGCATGTTAAATAATCTAATGTTTGTCTGAAATGTCTGAGCTGTGTATCATTTGTCTATCTCACATACTGATATAAGCACAAACAACATCCTTCCCCTCCTTCCTCTCGATTGGCCGACAGGATCACACTGAAATGTCATGACAGGAAGACATTCCGCAGATACCAAAATAAACAAGAGCAGAGCGCCACAACTTACAAAGACACGCTGCCATATAGAGGAAGAGAGCTACACTCAAACACACATTAAATTACCACTTTAGCTTGTTTCATTTGTAATTAAAGGGAAGACACATTTCAAACAATTACTTTGTTTTTGAAACTGAAACCTTTCTGAGTTGGAAAGTCCCCATGCATCATTCCGTGATGGTATCAACTAAACATTTATCAATCATTGACTAAGATGCCAGCCAAATGTTGGGGTAAAACCTGAAACTTATCTTGACTTTTGTTTTAATCGCACGTGGTGTGATTAAAACGGCACTCAAGCCTGATTTTCTGCTTGAAAGAGACAATCTACATGCCTGGCACACTGTGGTTGTTGTTGAATTGTTTGGGTTAGATATAGTTTTTAACATTCACTACAGATATAATGAGAAATATTTGAAAATAGAGGCGTGAATGTATACAGGCCTAAAGGAGCTAAAGGACTCTGTGGCTCCTTGCTTCCTGTTTCCCACTGACGCCTGTGGAAGTGCGGCCCTAGAGGAAATCCTTGTACTCTAGGATGGGCCTGTCTGAACTGGAAAGCCTGATAATTGTATCCTGAGTCCTGACTGCTGTCCCGGCCCTGTCCCCTGGGTTCCCATTGACAAGATCTGGTCACTTCCCAAACATTCCTCTGCAGTCGTACTATATGGTCAGCAGCAAAGGCTAATAGATCAGATATCTGTACTAATAAAATGCAAGCTCGCAGAGGAATCTCCAAATGAGGGTATCAGCAACACAAGAAATAGTCAGCAGAATTTCTTTTGCAATACTATATATACAAACGAATATGACGAAACAGAATATATGAATAACCAGAAAAAATCCCTTTCAAGGGCGTATCAGTGTCAGATGCTTAAATACAAACAGCGGAAGTCGTGGTTTCCCTAAATTCTGAAAAACTAAACCACCCACAAAAAAAGTGAGAAAGAAAACGGAAAAGCTGCAAAGCTCGTTCCTTGTTTTAACACTTCTCCTCTAATTTCCCATCATCTTTGGTTATCATGTTTAATGATGGTAAGGAGACTTTTTTTGCTAAGAAGACCTAATGGATCGAAACCTGTCTACACTGCACTCAAACATAATTTTTTCATGCAAAAACATTTAAAGATTCTTAATTTATTAACATTTTGTTATTAATATTTTAGTGGCATATTGTTTTTGTCTCATTAAGGTTTCATTCATTAACATTATTTAAGATGAACTAACAATGAAAAATACTTTTAAAGCATTTATTAATTATAGGTAAGGTTAAACATTAACATTAAAATCAAAAGTTGTATCTGTTCATATTTTGTGATGGACCTGAGCTGACATAAACTAACAATGAACAATGCTTTATTAACTAACATTAGCTAAATAAATAAACAAACACTGTAACAAATATAGAATGCTAATTATTTGTTGATAATGTTAATTAACATGACCTTATTGTAAAGTGTTATCAGTAAATCTAGTATGGAAACCAAATGTATGCTGATTAAGTAACAATTCTACAAAAACAAACTGGATTTTGTAGGGACTCCCAATGTAAAATGCTGTCTAAGCTATAGTACAACTTTCCACATTTTGTAATGCCACTACAAAAGTATTCTTGCTTTCATGACAGTAACCGCTGAGCCACACCTTCCCTATGCGTCTCTCTCCACTAATGCTGGTCATCGGGGTGTGAAGAGTAAATCACATGAGCTACGTTGTGCTAAACCTTTGTGGTCTCACAGACTGGAATTCATGCCAAAGTTCAGTCAGAAAAAAATAGAAGTCAACCTACAGCTGGCATTGCCTAAAAAACACACTCTGTGGTAAATGTGTTGATGTTTAAATCCTTCAAAATAAACTTCAAACATTTCGAATTCATTTCATAATGAGGAAACGACCGCACTTTTGTTTTTTTGCCCAGCTGCACGAGGAAGCAGGGGAAAACACGAGAGAAAGTGTCGAGGGACAATGGCAATTACTGAGGAAGGGCTTGCTTGTGAAAGCCTCTCATGCTCCTCATCTCGGTGGGGTTTAGCAGGGCTGTAACTGTGACAACAACGGCTGCTTCCCTCTCCAGTCGAAGGGAATAGAGCATAAACTTTTACATTTTCTTTCTCTCTTCACATTGTTTTGCTGTCTCTCTCTAAACTTTAACGTCAAGCAATTTTTGACTCATTCCATTTGGCCTCTGGTTTCATCACATATATTATGAAAGGCATGTGATTCAGAGAGAAACGGAGCTGACTCAAAAAAGCTGCTTACGTGTCTGGGAGTGGGATGGAATTTGCAATGTGTCTCGCTCGATATAGCCTTACAGCAATGGCCCGTGAAAGCGGCCGAATATGATAAAAACTAGAGCAGTTTTGTGGGAACTACTGCTGAAAGCCTGTTATATCTACAGTAAAACAAGTAATCGTATTGATTCCATATGAAGCTGGAAATAGTACACTGGGATTACAATGAAAAGATACTGATCATTCTTTCACGAGGTCTGCAGCTTCATAAAACAATCATGAGGCACTGTACTTGTTATGTATTGAACTGGAAGTATGAACATTTTAAATGCCTCGTGAAAGAAAGAATAAGAAACCATGGATGACTCATCCAAGAGTCTGAGAAAGAGAATATCCCACGCCTGTGCTCTGCAAAGGAGCAGTTTCTTTACAGTCATGTGCTTGCTCTTCTATATGACTGAAGAGAGAACACATTGTTAAATTTTTCAACTCTGTGTTGAGTTCATGTCTTGCTTTCTGCATGAAACAGAAACATGGAGGTGCCCCTGGCAAGAGTGCGTGTGATTTCAAGGAAAACCTTACAGCGTATACCACACCAATTATGTTGATCTCAGAACGCTTTTTTAACAGCTCATCTTGATCCATGAAAACCTTATGTAATGTTGCCAGTTTAACATGGTATGATTAATTCTTTTTTTTTTTTCATTATGCGATAAAAATATGCAATTAACAATGACCACTCTGACTTGTACAGAGTTCAAGACTGAAACAGACTGACCACATTCATGTTTCTTGCATTCAAAGACAATTTGATAAACATTTCACAGACAGTAATGACACATTTCCAGTCTCTTTTGCCTGCCATAATTGATCTCTCTTAATTTGTTCCTGTTTTGGAAAGTCATGTGAATGCAGTCGTTTTTTTTCTTTTGCTATTGGAGCAAATGTTATCGTAACAATCAGATTTTCTTTACTCTCTCATTCAGAGTGCAACATTCTGGCTCTAACAGTACAAAATCCATTCATTTTATCCATAAGGATATTAATTTTCAACAGTATCTTATAGACAGATCTACTGTGAGTTACAAGGTAATTTACGAGTAATATATTGTGTTTAAAAGTGGAATTCCTGGTGAAAAACTACATTACCCATGATTCTGCAGAGAACTCTCCACCAATCAGAGAATCACCCAAAAGTAGGCTATGTAAATCTCACTCTACTTATATGTTTGCATAATATACATATTTTGCAATAAAAATAAAATATAGTTTCTATATATAATAATAATTTAATTCAAAATGTTCTCAATTTTTATTTTTGTTCATTTTTCTTTTCTTTTCTATTGTCATTTGCAATGCTTCATGGGATTGTAGTTCTTACCCTCATTAAAGTCCTTAGATACACAGTCTTGTACATTTGTCCTTTTGACTGAATTTCAAATACAAATAATTTTTTGCTTAAAGTTTGTAATGTTGTGATTCACTTTGTAACTGGCTGGTTTGGTTAATGGCTTATAACTCAATAATTTTGTAAAATTCTGTGAAATGATCAGTCTACAGCATTGCTAGATGATACACTCTAAAAAATGCTGGGTTGTTTCAACCCAATGTTGAGTCAAATATGGACTAACCCAACTGTTGGGTTAAAAAGTTAATTGAAAAATGCAACCAAAATTTAACCCAACAGTTGGGTTAGTCCATATTTGACCCAACATTGGGTTGAAACAACCCAGCATTTTTTAGA